TAAAAATGTTCATGCATGGCTGACAAAATCACAGGAGCCAGATACCCAATGATCTTTAAAGACTACTACACCTTTAGTGAAATTGTCTTTTAGTAACCCCCACCCTACTGAGATAAGCCCATCTGGTAAAATAGTTACCTTTCTTCTAGTTCCAGCCCTGTACTTCAATGCAGAACCTCTGCAAAGAGAACAGCCACCTCCTTTTTCTACTGCACACGCATGCTGTGGCACTATTCATTCCTATAGATGAGTCATACTCATCTTGGAAGGCTGGAGGCCACAATGAGCACAGCTGATCCACTGGATTGAACGGCACATGTTCACAGTAGGAAAACGAGGCGGCTGGGACATTTTCATTGCAAAGGCTATGTGGCACACAGCAAAGAACGGGAAGAAAGGTAAGTGTATATCCAGGTGGGCTGCACTCAGGGTGGGGTGGGGATGGGATGGTTATGAGAAGGACAACTTCAATAACGGTGAAATTGCCATTAAAACAAAAAGTCCTATAGTGTGTCCATTCTGGTCAGAAGCCATACAGTTTATTTTCAAATCTTTTGCTTTGTCGGCCATGTGTGATCTTAAAATGTGCATTCTGGGATTGGTTGACGACTTCATTCAGTCTAAACATAGAAGGATTTTTGTTTGGTATTTTACAAAAAAGCAACTGACGTCAATGGTTGCCAGGACCTGTTCGGGACGCCGGCCAGGGTGTCCTTGGTTGCTAAGAGTCAAGCGGGGTGACATATATGACCCTTACACATCTCCCAACCCAGCTCTTAGCAACCTGGGAGCAGCCTGGGACACTCTGGACGGTGTCCTGCCAAGCTCCTGGCAAAGATTTAGATATCTAGATATTACAATTGCATTTAAATTTAGGTTGGGCACATACAACAAACTGCTACAGTTTAGGAAATTTGATCATTTTCCAGCTTTAGAAACTCAACATTGTCAACAGGTTGTAATTACAGATCACATCACCTCTGCATTAGAAACGTCAGAAATGTTTGTCATTCTGACCAGTTCTCTTTTAATGCTAACTTTTCTTGGCAATCTGTGCTCCTTTTTTGGAAAGTCAGTTTTCTTTACTTTTTTCTAAAATCTATAAATCTTTCACCTCAACATATCTAGAAAAAGTATGAAAACAGAACAGAGCCTATGTAAAATAAAAAAATGTACATAAAGTTTCTGAACCTCTTGACGTTAAGCACCGCAACCCAGACACAGGACTGATGAATTATACAATACAGGTTCTTCATCCGTTAGTACAGTAATACTTTTATTCCAAATCATTGCCAACTGCACAAAACTTTTAGGGCTAACAGTGATTTGACATAGAAATATTACAAATGTTACAAGAAGTACATAAAAAATAGACATTTTCAACTTAAGGAATAGTCAAAATGATCAAATAACAGACATTTAAAGAGAACAAGTCCACCAAAATTTAATATTTCCGTGATGGGAAAATGATTTTTCAACTGGTAAATCAATTTACTGGCACCTCAATACTAGAACACAAGTTCTTGATAGACAAACACTTCAAAGAAGAACTGGGTTGCTCCCGGTGCTCTATTCTGCTTGTAGACTCTTTTTGCATATGTATGTATATATATGTTGTGACATAGGGCAGGCGGCTTAAACCATAGTGCACTACAGGAAACGTAGAACTATCTGGTAGTGCCAGATGCCATAGATTCTACCAGTGATAATTGCTCTTGAAGAGAGTGAAGTTTGGATTGTTGCCTTCTGGTGGAACAATTATTAAAGGTCTTCTTCTGCAGGAGGCTGCAGAGATGGAATTGCTTTTAAGCTCTTTAACTCATGCTGCTCAATCATGATTGATCTATATTACTCATATAATGCTTTTCCCTATGAGGGCCTAAAAACATTTTGCGAAACTACTTTATACCACTCGAGTCTCCTTCTATTAATTAAAACGTATTGACTTTATTAATTGATTATGAATTAAAAACAAAGCTGAACATGCTGCTTAGTCCCCACATACTTGACCATATTTAAAGATATAATCCATAGGAAATCCTTTAAGTATTTTGTATTCATAAACTCAATTGATTGCTTTACTCATCAACGTAATCATATGTATTATATATCATGTATCCTAACTGAGACTGCACAAGCTTTTGTCAGAATATATGCAACCCATCCAGTGTATAGTAATGTCCACCATTTAATGTAAGCAAACATTACTTCTCCGGTATATTAGTATGATGTAGTTACAGTTTTATCCAGAGAGCATCAACCCCTTCCCCCACCATAGATGGTGGATTAGTATTACTGAGTGCACCTCCATCCAGGAAAATTGCCCTTCACTTCCTGCTCCAGGTATATTACAGGAAGTGAGCAGATATCTCCCCAATTTGAGGGGAAATTCCTGCTTTGACAGCGGTCACCGGAACAGTTGACCCATTGGAAGATTTCCTCTCTGCCTCTGTGCCGATGACAACTATAACATTATGGATTTCCCCTTACTCTCTGTTGTGTTGGCAATGATCATCAGGACAAATAGTAAAGGTTGTTCTACCTATTGAGAAAACAGCAATAATAATAACTCACTATGGTAGACCTACCACATAATCCTGCCCCATGCCTGCTCCAACTGACAGACAGGCTCATATCCAGGTATAATGGCTCTTTACCCATACACTTGCTCAGTGCAGTGAGAGCCTGCATCCCCTTTAGAGGTACTGGAGTGGGAGAGATACTATAGTGGTGCATACCTTGTATTTTGGACTTTGTATTGAATTTACAACAATAAAGTTGGATTTTTATGGACCTCAGTTTCGTGCGGCTGATTGGAGACATATAGCCTGGATCCCCTGGTTATGGAAAGAGCTGCCAAGCAAACAGCTATGGTTCGCAAAGATAAATGACATTCTCCAGATGGAGGATGCAACATGGACTATGGACACTCACTATGGAGGATACATTTAGAACCACATGGATGCCATGGCTCTCAATGTCAAGCATCAAGGTGAGTGCCAGGAGACCACCCCCTTCTGGAGTCTAGCTTTACCAATCGAGATGATCACAACACCGTTTAGTGTGGATGGAAGAACCTGTTTGATTTTGTCTACTAGTGTATGGCCAGATTTATTCCAGTCCCACCCCACTGAGTATAGAAGGAGACAACATAAGCACTCTGTTTAGACCCTCATAACATACAATCCTCCATACACCTTTCTCAACCATGTAAACTGATCTAATGATCTTGTTTTCTTATATTTATCCTGTACTGTTATGATACAAGTGGATGAATTGTCTTATTATATCTGTTCACTTTGATAGGGACTGTTATGAAGGATTAAGAAAACCTGACAGAAGAAACAAAAATAAGATGGGTAAAATGCACATACATATTTTTTCAGCTCTTGAAGAATTTGTCCTGTTCACTAACATTTTCCTATCACTTGGCTTCTGTCGAGCAGTAGTCAGACAAAAGATACCCACAGACATAGGATCATCGTTGCATGAAAGCAGTCATGTATATAAATGGGCTACCCCCAACATGTGCAAACCGCCAATCAGATTAGTCTTGAGGAAAGAATGTATGGATTTTTCTAGCTGGTCCCTATGGATTCCCTAAGACAAGGTTAAAACCAAGTAATTCCACACAGGACATATACCTACATGCAAGAGCAGCAACTGAGCTCATGTATGCTTATGCTTTTTTCTGCTTTGGTAATTAAAGCAGAAAAAATGTCTCTGCAGAGAAGACATTTAGGCCCCATTCACACCTGCGAGTGGGGCTGCTTGCATTAGTCTCATGAATGACTCTGTGAGACTTATGCGATTTCCTGTGAGCGGAAGATGGTGTATAATCCAATGACAGCTGCCACCAACTGCAGCTGTTCACGAGTAATGGCCCAGACAGGGATTACCTGCAGACAATCGCATCTGAACAGTCTCCGCCTAGGTTCGGTCATTCGCAGGTAATCGCAGGCTATGCAATGAGAACAGCTAGGGCTGGTGGTAGCTGTCTTTGTATTATACATCACCTCCCGCAGGAGATCGCATAAGTCTCACGGAGGAATTTGAAGGCCTCATGAGCCTGGACTCATTCGCAGGTTCGAATGGAGCCTTAATACTCACCTCTCTCAATACGATCTTGATTGCATTGAAGTCAACCCTCTGCCTGAAGAATCTTCACCATCAGACACGTCCAGGAGTGCTGGACTCCTGGTCACCCATTGCAGTGGTGCATGAGGTTCGATCTGCCAGCTGCTACACCAATACTGTGTCTTGTAATGACCTATTCAAGATATCACCAGCACGCCATGTGTAGATGAGAAAACAGAACACTTTATCATCACCAGCAGGTAGAAATGTTTCCAGCCCACTAAGGACCTCTACCTTAGTCGAAAGTGACTGTTGCCTGAGGAAGAGGTCCTTAGTGCCCTCGTAATGTTACTTCCTGTTGGTGACAATAAAGTGTCTTCTCATCCAAATATGGTGTGCTGGTGATATCTTTGATTGGGACTTATGTTGTGGTGGCGCCATTTTATCATAGCACTCTGTTGATTGGGTCTAAATGCTGTATTGAGTTTCGTGAATCTACTGTATAATGACCTATGCGACAAGAGGTAGAGCGGGGAACCACAGAGTAGAGCGGGGAACCAGGAATTTGACACTTCTGGAAGTGTAGGATTATGAATATTCCCAGGCTGCAGTTCCTCTCCAATACAGCTGGAATGGCAACGTGGGCAACAGGAGAGGTGAATATTAACTATCGTCTTTACAGGAGACACTTTTTTGCACTTTTGTTTCAGCAACAGAGTTTACAGTTTCACTGATGTGGAAATCTCCCTAATGCTCTTCTCCAGGATGGTGAATGAAGTCTGTAGAGCACAACCTTTCCATCTGTTTGCAATAACAACAGTGCTGTAGAAATGCATGCGATTTCTAGATATATGTACTGCACACAAAATATTTTGTACATTTTGGCTGGAATCGTGCTGTAGGACAAGCAAAGAATTTCCTACCTCCACCGATGCAAGGCCAGTCCCGGACACCGATCGCCGCAGGCATTACACGGCTGTCCTCTTTCCGGTTCAGAAAATGGTGCAATCTGACACAAAGGAATAACAATTCATGTTTATTGTGAATATGAGTAAATTAGGAACCAGAGCAAACAACAATTTTCATGATTATATAAAAAAACCTGAAACTTTATATTTAAAACAAAGTGTATGTTAGATATCAAGAGCAATTTATTGAACTGCCTTGCTTTTTAAAGCTGAACTCCAGGATAAGCATTATTGTCTAAATACAAGAGTCATGTGTATTCTTAAATGAATCTTGGTGAGATTTGTGTATTTCTTCCAGATCTGTACAGTAATCCAATGTGAGACTTGGAACTTCCTGTAATAAAGACCTGTCACTGCTGCTCTCTCATCTTGTGCAGGGTGACTGGTCTTAGTGCATGGCTCCGCCCACACAGATGCCTCATCCATTCACAGATCCTTCAACAGGATCTGTGAATGGAGAAACAACAAGTCCCATCAGTCATCACGGCAGAGGGAATACAAGTGTGGTGATGTCACTGCAGTTGTAGACCACTGACCCCTCCCATCCATGTTACTGCATGTGGAGGGAGGAACAGTCTGCAGGAGCCACAGCATTACACACTGATCGCGATTGCAAAACTTTGCTGGCTCCAATGCAATAGAATAATAAATGTAAATGTTTTCTTTTATGAAGAAGTGCGCAATTGTTATTCTTTTGTCCTTTTAACATCTGCCTTGAGTTGAGTAGTTTCAGTTCTCAGAGTTCTAAACACTCTCTAATGAATTAATTTGCAGTGCAAAGCGTCTCCTATTGTACACAGTCGTTCAGATCTAGCTTTGCCCGGAGGCCATGTAAGATCTGTCAGGAAGAATTGTGCGATTATGTAATGCAGATCCTTTGATAAGGTGACAAGCCCTGCGCTGGATCCTCTTTGCTTAAGAAGAAATTTTAGAAAATAGAACATTTAAGATAAACTTGTTTCTTTTTTGTGGCAGCGAACAATTCCAAGAAGGATCCTCAGGGAAGCAGGCGAGCTGATTTCCAAACCGCGTCCGTTCACAATGTGTCAAGTCAAAGGAGGACACGAGAGACACACACAAGTTGAAGAAAGGAACTTTTGTACAGCCAATGTCGTCCCCGGCCAAATTTGCATCACAATACCGCCGCAAAGGATTCTGGGAAGTTAAGTTAACATATAGAAGACTAATATTTCCCAGGAGCTAATAGAGCCCAAATTCCCAGGAGCTTCTGAGCCCAAATTTTAACAATGCTACAAAGTATGTCATCTTTGAGGTGAGGAAACCAGGAAGTACAATGGCAATGGGATGCAAATGGACCTCAGGGGGTCAGGAGTGGGACTCCCATCCAGGGGCGTCCCGAGGCTGGGTGTCACCGGGGCGAAGACAGGGTGACACCCTGCCGTGACATCATTGCGCATGCGTGGTCGTCTTATTGATGCCTGCCGGCGGCCATCTTGGTGATGGACACTGGCAGAGAGAGGAGGGGACGTTCACCCGACGGGATGAGGTATGCCGCAGGGTCCCCTCCTCTCTCCTGACACTGTCGTGCTCTCAGTCTGTGACCGAGTGCCCGACTTTTAATAGGGGGTAGCACCAAAATGACTGTCAGTCATTTTGGTGTCACCCCTCCAATGGTGGTACCCGGGTGCGGGTCACACCCCCCGCACTCCCCTTGTGACGCCACTGCTCCCATCACCATTTCCCCCTCAGTATACTTGTGCAGGGCAGTGACAGTGTCTTTGCATAATGAAGGTAGTGTACACGAGGTCATCAGCGAGACACTGAAATGTTGCCATCCTTGTGACAATGGTGATTCATTTTTCAAAACCGGAGCAGACAAAATCTGGAGCAGCTTTTTTTCTGGCGGTAAGCACCGTTACGCAGTACCACCACCTACCGCCAGACCTTTATTTTATTTTTTTACAATATAGAATTGCAAAAAATGTTTTTAAAAAGGTGCCCTCATGACAGGCCATGAAAAGGCACCCCGTGTCTGTACACTTGCAGTACAGACAATGCGCAAGTGTCAAGTGTTCGTAGGGCAAGTGTTCAGACACGGCACCAAAAGACAAGCGTCATCACCCCATGCAAGGTGATGAAGCTTGTCTTCTGGTGCTGTTAACCACCAAAAAGATGGCCACTGACAGTAAACGCCATTGTCAGCAGCCATCTTGCGCATGCTCAGTGCATCTCTGCTACCACAGCCAAATTGACCGTCAGCCCTGTGGTTTATTGTTGGCGGCCATGTTGGTTGTAGCAGCGGGGACATACTGTGCATGCGCAGTGCGTCCCTGCCCACGACAAAGATGGCCACCGCAGTGAATACCGGAACCCTTTTGCCCACAAAAAAGGACTAGCTTTGTCACACTTCAAGAAACACAAAAAAAGCTCTGGGGTGAATGTTCCAATGTCCCCAGAACAATATTAGAGAGGCCAACCTCCCAATGAGGACCCCTCTGCTGGTGACAGGTGTTAAAGGTGGGATTCACTTTGGGTATATTTCTTCTTACCTTCTGTTGTGGATGCAGGACAGGAAGTGGGATTTAACATAACTAACCAGGTTGAAAAGTTCAATCCATAGAGAAAAAGCTGAATAAATAAATAAGTAGAAAACCTCCATAAACCTTACACCCACAGTTACCCACAGTTGATCCAAAGGAAGGCAAAAACTCCTTCCACCGCATGGTAAAGTTCTAACCCTTCTCCACTCTTTCCAAAATTAGACATAAAGCTTTGGGATAATGTTCCACTTTAACTGCCTGAATTTCCAGTAAATATGTTTCCGAGCACAGCACAACCCCCATCCACAAAAGGTTAAACCGACGAGCCATAAACCATGTTAAAAAACTTAATGATTTATGTTTTGTCTCCATTGTACATGTGCCAAGCCCTCGGCCACCGCAGTATATCAGGAGAGGGGCGTTTCTATGTTATTTCAAGGATAAAGAGAAAAAACATTAATATCAGGACTCAGCAGTGCGGGAAAAGTTCACTTTCCCAATCTGAACCCTTTTAGATGCAAAGGCAAGGGTAGTGCATCCAGGGCACGTCTCAGCACCATAGATGGTTCAAAGTATTTAACACTTGTAATGCTGGTACAGACAAGATTTAATAAACTATACATTCAAAGCAGACATGATTTATCTGAAGAATGCATTACAAATCTCATGGGTGTGACTGGGCCCTTTAAGGGCCCTGCAAAGGCTCATACCTATGGATGCAAACAGGGCCATCTTTAATGTGGGGCAAAGGGGCAGTTGCCCTGGGCCCGGTCATTGTTGTGGGGCCCAAAGCAGCTACACCTTGATACACACATAGCAGAGTTCTGTTTACTTTGCGATCGGCATCGCATAGTGTTTTTCCGCCCCTGCCGCAGGAGTGAATCGTGACCATGTGACCTCTCACGCAGGGGCACGTCTCCCTCTGACGTCTCCTCCTATCTGCTCTGCAGACATATCTATCTTTCTGGTGGAGAGCAAAATTGCATGGCGCAGGTGGGGCAGGTAGGGGGTGTGGTGAGTAGGGGCAGGGGACCCAAGAAAATGTTTGCCCAGGGTCCAATCAATATAAAAGATGGCCATGGATGCAAATACAGGTGTATGTGTATACAGTGTAAAATATGCCTGTATTTGCAGTGACCCATATGGGAGTGTATGGACACAATTTGCTGTACGAGGGTATATGCAAATATGGACGCACATTGGTGTAAGTTCCCATACGCATGGAAATGCTGGTACTTGCGTTTGCACGTCAATACTCATGTACAATGTATTGTGTCCATGCGACCCTATGGATGCAATAACACAGCAGTTGGGTCTCCCGGGCACCACAAATATAGGCGCATATTGCGCTGTATGCCCATACACCTTGACTGATGTATTCGTTGATTACGTCCCTTTGTTAAAAAAAAAACAATAAACACACAGACTGCACACAATGGATGTAAATGGCCTCAGAAGCCCTTTTATTAAACAAACGTTAACAGTAACCAAAAGTAATAAACAAAATAATATACAAATAAATAATCTGAATGACTGTTGGATCCGAGAAGGGGTTTTTTGGTGCCCAACAGCCCGAATAAGGCATCTCCTAAAAACAGTTTCCATGTCCCCAGCTGCACCCCAACCAGCTCGAGGACAGTTAATGTTCACAAGTTCCAAGGGGCTGACAAATACTGACACCAACAGGGGGATGCACTCATACCAGCTGATGGCCCCCCATTTGTGTATTTGTGTAATTATAACCCCAACCTCCAATCAGGTAAGATCAGCTAATCCCTTTTTATTTAAACCCTTCTCCAGGGACTATTCCTCCCCCCAGTCATGCAGCCCCTCCGCCCATTATATCC